ACCATGGCAACCTTGCTTCTTCAATCAGCTTGTAGTTTTTGACCCTTTCCCGCTTGACGTTATTTCTAAATGATTTACTATCTAAGTTTAATAGCGTGAAAATATAAAGCCTAAACCGTATCTTTATTGTAGGGCTTGTTAATTAAAAAAAGTCCTGACATCTCATATAACTAAGTAGTGTGTTTACGCTTTATTATATTACTAGATGTTTCCATGCGACTTCATTCGCATGAAATTATGAAAATTTTATTTTATTATTTACATTTATCAAATTATCAATTGCAAATGTCAAAATGACATGACATGATGTCAAACCATGGCAACCTTGCTTCCTTGATGTTGGCAACAACTTATGGTCTCTTTCCTACATTAGGGGTTTTATCCAACATCTTTACCTCTAAGTTTAACGACGTGAAAATATATAGCCTAAAGCATGACGCAAGTCTAGCGCTTTTTATTAAAGAAAGAGTTATTCAAAATATGCTGTAATTGCTAACATCTTAGGCAACAAAGAAGTGTGTGTTTACGCTTTATTATAATAGTATAGATAGTATAAATTGTGAGTATAAACAGTTAAAAATATGAATATTTCCATTATTTACAGACGAAGACTGCTATTAACTATCCGTCCACTGCTGGAAGCATACTCGATGACCTGCAGGAATGTGAGCAACGGCTTGCAGAAGACAGTCGTTACAAGCGCACTGGACGCATTAACTGAGGAATTCACACAGAACAGAATGCCATATGGTAAGTTATTCTCTTAACTTTCTACCGTTCCTGAAATATCTCAAAATAATCTGTTAAGAACAATTAAAAAATGTTGATTTATCCTACCACAATATTGTATTCCATGTAAGACAGTTAATATTAAAAAATCCAATGTTAGCCGGTTTTACGTACAATCGGGTAATCTGGCAGTGTTCTGTCTTACAGTTACAGTCGTTTACGTTAAACGTCGTCAGAGTTAAGATGATGCGGCACAATAACTAATAGGAAAACAAAAAATAGTCAGTCAGTCAGTGATAAACGAATTGTTTTTTTTATTATCCTGGTGTGTGCAACAAACAGCAATCTAATTGGTTATTTTATTAATACACAAGATAATATTTCTGTAAATGGAACACCGCGTATTTCCGCGATTGTACAAGAATATTGCAAGCGATAACATTTCAGTTGTATATTAATCAATATTTGTATCTATTTTCAGGGGAAGCAGTATCAACAGATGCAATAAGAAACTGTTTGAAATTGCTAAGGCAATGGGGTGTCGTAGAAATGTATTCTGAAGGAAGAGATAGAAAGCTTCGGATAGTCCCCCCGTATGACAACACTACCAACTGGGACCAAGTCTGTAATAATGTCTACAAGTTTAACATGGAAACCCCCTTACTAAGTGTTACCAAGTGAAAATATTAAAGTTGCCAAGTGTAAAGTGTCAACAAGTGTAATTGCCAAGTATAAAAGTGTCAACAAGTCTAGTTGTCAAGTGTAAAAGTGTCAACAAGTCTAGTTGCCAAGTGTAAAAGTGTCAACAATTCTAGTTGTCAAGTGTTAAAAAGATTATTTGACATGTGTAAAAGTATCAACAAGTATAGTTGTCAAGTGTGAAAATGTCGAGCAGCTTAGTTGTCAAGTGTAAAAGTTGATTACTGCCAAAGTGAAAAGGTCTTTGTCATGTGATAAACGAAGTGTGTATCCAGTGCAACTGTCAAATGTGATTCTAGGTTAAGTCAATCGGTGGAAGTCTTCTGGCTAGTACAAGAACTTAGTTACTTTAAGTTATGTAGTTTTAACTATTACTATCGACTTTGTGCTCAGGACTTTTTTTTATTGTAGTAGTTGACTGTTGTTATACATTGTTGTAAATCCACTTCAAATCTCCATGTCAAAACAGAGATAAGAAGTATCATAAACTGATCTGTATAAATGGATAGGTCAATGCTTGGAAATCACAGACTTTTCTTCCATTATGCTTAAAGCATCTTTAAATGTCAGGTCTATCTCTATCAGTGGAATCCACAACCGTCACCGACCAAGACCGTTTACAGTAAAATAAACAATATAGACTTAAGACTATGCAGTCTTTTAATTTAGGGAATATGGGATTGCATTTACATTTTGCAATTAATAATAATAGTGAAAAATTGACAAACAATGGGCTGTAGACCATAGACTATAGGATGTAGATCATAAACATTTGAATAAAAATAGATTAAAATGCATTGAATTTATTGACTTTAAGCTTTGTATGGTATGATCATATCTAGAACTACTAAGTTGAATATGTAACTATTTTAGTGTTATAGACATTTATAATTAGGAAAGATCGTAATTTATTTATGTATTTATTTATCTCATCCATAAGAAAATCTTATAGCAAATATTGTAAAATAATCCTCCAAAGCAGTAGGTTATTTTCACTTTAGTTGATTGTAATAGTGAAGTTTGTACAATACTAATGGCCATTTTCAACCAGCCTCTGTAGTGTTTGCTTGATAGGTGTCTATTTCCAACAATATAGTAAAATTATGAACTTTGCTGACACCTAAATTATGGTAAACTTATTTTCTTACTGGATTCTTTAAATAGCATTTAGGAGGTTCTAAAGATACATAAAAGAACCCTAATTTAAGGAGTTCTTGGTCAAAATATCCATCAGACGCGCTTATGACTAAAACTACAACCTCTACTAGAATTTTCTCCAATGACGTCATAATTGAGTTTTACAGTGTTCAAATATTTGAATTATGATGTAAGTGGCCCCTCTATAAAGAAGCGAGCCTACAATGTCCTCTAAAGCCGGCAACGCATCTGTAGTTCCTCTTGTGTTGCGGATGTCCACGGGCGGCGCTGACCACCTCTGTGTTCTCGCCACTCATTTGCCCCTTCTCTTATAAAAAAAGGGGCCACTTACATCATACTCCATGGGCAGTATTTTATTTTTTCATTAATGTTTGATTTCATTCTATTGTTTTCTCTTACTGTGAGTTTCCATTGTTGAAACTCTAGTATAGAAGTATACTGTCATCTCTGTTTTGTACGAAAGAATGAAAAGGATGACAGTATGTTCTTATTGGTGTTTCAGAAATGGAAATGAACAGTTTTCAATAACACAAAAATGTGATTGTTATTTTGTACTATATTTATTCTAAATTTAAGATTAAATCTAAATTGATTTTATGTAAGTATTGGAAACTTAATTAATTCTATTACAATGTTTTATAATAATTCAAAATATTCATTTTATGGATATTTGACAAGATGGTGACAGAATTAATTTGGTTAACAAAACGGTAATTCTAAAAGTTATTTTATATTAAAGGTACAGTCAATTTCTTTAGTCTAATAATTTATGGCTGAACATATAAACCATACATAATATCTTGTGAATTAAATACATCTACACTAACATAAAGAAAAAAACTTTGCTTGATTATAATGAGATAACTCAAAAACTACTGGGTTAATTTCAAAAATTCTTTCACCATTAAATAGCTATTTTGTCAGTGAGTAACATAGGCTATGTTTTATATTATTTTTTAATTCACGCGTATGAAGTCGCGGGCGAAAGTTAGAATTCAATAAAAGCGTCAATTTTCAGTGCCACTGACATGCCCTACACTTAGCATGGGTCCAATGCTGATATGAAAATGTGTTTTAACAATACAAACCTCTAAAATTATCATTATTTCTTACTATATATATGTACACCTTTATAGATCCGGTCTATTTATTAAAACTGCATTAAAATCCTTTGCAGAGTGTTAGAGCTAAGCGTTCATAGTAAGACAGGAGGAAGACTGTTTTCTACTATGTAAAGTGTTGATGACTGTACTTTTACTTCATTAAATGCATGTTAATTTAAGAAGAAACATGGTATTTAGTTCAAGGTTCAATGTTGACCGTGTGGTCCTCTAGTTAAGTTGTAATGCTCAAAGATTGGAGCCAAATAACATCTTTATTATTTATGTTCCCATTGATCTGTGATCCTATTGACTTACTAAGCATTCACAATAATATGTATCCTTTGAGGACGTCACATTTTTATAAAGGTAACGAAACTCGGTTGCTGGGGCATTGTTATTGTGCTCGCATAGTATTGTCGAGAACTTGGTCGCTCACATTGTACTATTAAATAAACAACTCAACATTTATTATTAAATGAATAAAGTTGCTTGGTTTTATTTTCCTTTACCTAACCCCAGAGCGGGACATAGTTTAGCTTGGCCTCTTGTACCCAATCATATTGGTTAGCCTACAATTAAGTGCACGAAGCAAGTGGTGATAGTAATGTACAAGTTAAGCCTATAGAAACGATTTTTTTGCTATATGCATACTTGCACCTTTAACGTGGAAGTGATAAACTTCCTACACAGATTCAATATATTGGCAATCAGTATAAAAATACTTGAATTTAAATAAAAAAAATTCAAATTGCCATCAACTCTTAAACATGAAAAATGATGACGTTGAAACGGCTACGTTCATTGTTGCCATATTCAGGTACAATTCAAGAAATCGAAAACGAATTTTCTTTTCGCTAAACCATACTCAAACGATTTTTTAATTAATATAAATGTTAACAAAAGTTTAAAATTGTGAGCGGGGGGTTAACCGAGGCTTAACTTCACACGATTTTTTTTCAATTTTATAATCTGTGAAACAAGTTATTGTGGAAAAAACAGATTAGATATAATGATGCCAGAATATTAAATTTCCCTATAAGTATAGTAATTTTTTGCACCTTCCCCATATAGTATTTACATTAAAATTTTCTGCACCTACAACGTAAAAGCTAATTAAGCTGTTTTGAAAAAGAAAAAAAGGTTAAACTAATTCGTTGTCAATTTCAATATATTAAAGTTAAAAAGTCCAGTACATGTATGGTAAAAATTAATTTTATTACTAAGAATTTTTGAACACAACACTTTTACTGTTAAAATTAAAACAAAACAAGGAAAATCTATACCAACTACATGGCAACATACTGACTTCGTTTGTGTTGTGTTATGTCAGTTGTGATCGTAGCCAAGGAAATAATGTTGTGTTGTGCTGTTGGGAATATAATTTCGTATTTTTATTTGAACTAAATATGGTTTTTCGATTAATTTCGTTGTAAGTTTCAATATCTAGTGTACAACGGTAACAACAACGGCCAGTGTAAAATGTTTAAATGTGATATTTTGAGTGTTTGGTGCCTGTTTCTTGTGTATTTCTTATTTTTAATAGCCCTGACAAAGGACACCGTTAATGCTCAAGAATTAAGTAAGTTTTATCTTCTGTCTTGATTATGATGTTTAAATTAATTTGTATTTCAATAAATAAAAATAAGGTAATAAGTAACACACATTATTCAATTATTTAAAAAATAGAATACTATTATATATATATACCCCAAAAAAAAAACCATGCGAAAAAAAAATTGGTAAGAAAGAAACTTTACAAAGTATAATATTAAGTCAATTTATTTATTTTACCAAGTGAATCTATCTTCATAAAATATTTGGCTCTATTTCTAAATTTCATTAATATTAAATGTACACATATTCAAAAGATTATAGATTTAATAATCTAGCTGCAATAACAATAAACTTGGTAAAGAGTTCAATTGTTATTACAGCAGTGTGGAAAATAAATTTAAGGGGGTTGATCAATCTAATTGGTGTATACTTTTTACTCAAATTTCTTATATGATCAACATTTTTGAAGTCCATATTAATTGGATGGGTAAATAAGAATATATACAACTGGCTTAGAGCACTGACCTGTAAATCAACAGCAAATAACCAGCTCATGATCTGGCTAGGACTTTAGGGGAGGGGCAGCTACAATGAATATAGTCTTATTAGAAGTTTTTCTGTACTTTAATTTTTTTTTATTTTCCACGTACCTCTACTCTCTCCTAGCTTTACCTATAATGGACAGGCTAGGCTATAACAGTCCGGTGCCTGTATGATTTTCGCCATTTTGGCATTGACTATATCAGATGGTAGTGGTGGGGAAGTTTAAAACTAATAATATAAATAGAATTGTGTATAAGTAACTAATAATAGAAATGTAACTAATGTTAACTGGCACTTTTAAGCTGGAATGCAGCAAAAGTTGTAACATCTAAACAATGTTCTATCTATCAATACAGATTAGTAGTTCTGGGCTATTGGACTTTATACATCTGAATAAAGAGTAAAATGGTATAATAGGGAAAAGTCAGACTTACAGAAAACAGGTGTGAAGTGGAAGCAATCTCCTATTTTGTCTGATGAGTGTGATGCCGGAGACTTGATTTTAGCCCTTTTTCCTTCTAACCTTCTCTTAAGAGGAAAGAATTGATAGAGGAAATACACAGGAAGGGGAAATATCCCGTTTATGTACATCTGATGTTGATTGAGTGCACACAATGCATCTACAATTGCAGTTGTCTATGGGCAGCGGTTACTTCATCATTTTGTCGGATTCAGTTGGCCGTTTGCTTAGTAACCACCTTATAATATAAAAAAAAACTTCTTAGTTTTATGTTTATATAGTTTTTCAAATGTTTTTATCAAAATTTGTCACAGAAGGATTATGATGATTAGAGCTGGTATAGATGTGGTATATACCCAGTTGGAATCACTTTGTGATTGTGCTATTGACTCTTCCAAATTGTCCCTTATGTCAGTCAATTGTGGTCGGTGTTGGGCTTGCATCTATAGAATTATTATTATAGATATATCAGTTTTAAATTAATATTTATTTATATTTGGTTTATTAAAATCATTACATGATTTTACATAGATTTCTTTTTTGCGTTAATAATCCAGATACACATACAACAACTCACAATAATTATGGATAAACACTTCTTGTATAGTGTCAGAAATAATTTGAAGCAAAAATACTATAAATCTGAATTTAACTTTAACTTTGCAGTTTCATAAATCTTACTTCGTAATAATGTTATAAATGCAAAAGTTTTGATGTTTGAATGTCAGATTTTGTAGCCAAAACTGCTGAATAATTCTCAAAGAAATTTGGCATAGTCCAAAAGAACTTTTTTTTCAAATTCTGCGCATATGGATTCGCGGGCGAAAGCTAGTATATTATAAATATGTGATACATATGTACTGGATATGTATATAATTAAAATAATCTATGTTTAAAAATAAAGCATCGAATGTTAACAAAAGTTTACTTGAGGGGTGAATGTTCGTTTGTTACTCTAAGGGTACGTTTATGACTATGGGGTGATGAGGGATGCACGTGTTTTTTTGGTAATAAACTTTGTTAATAATAGCTGTAGGTTGAAATGTGCAACGATTGCTTTAAATACGAAATAATTCGTAAAATATATCTTTTGTTGAGAATATTAAAGTTTTAGTGTAGCATCTAATATATATTTATTTAATTAATTTCAGTTTAAAAACTGTTTTCTGAAATGTCTGTAGCTCTGTTATTTTTCCTGTTGTTTCAATAAATAACAATATCCCACGTATTCTCTTTGTACGAACCACTAGCGTTTAGAACCTAACAAGGGAACTTTAAAAAGACACTTTTTAATGATTAAGTATCACTACATCGCATTATATAAAAAAAAATCGTTACAGATATGTTTAAATAGTAATAAAGTATACAGAAAAAAATGTCTAATTTGACTTCATGTGCCTATTGTTACAGACTAATTTTATTATTAAACCTTTTACCAGTTATATTCGTCAATATTTTACATGCTATGGAACGATGGCGTCCCATGCAATAAAATAAAATGCACGTCGTTTGGGAGGCAACGCACCCACTTCGTCAACAGCTGTTTATAGATCGACAATTATATGTTGACCCCTCCCAGCACAGCCCAGTGCGTCGTCAGGACTGGTAAAGATTTGTTACTAGGGTGACCAAATAGTTATGATTATTTTATTTTATTATCCGTATTTTAACTTTCTTTTCTAACAAAAAGAGTTGAGCAAAAAAGGTATCATATTTTAGCGAAAATTTTTAGATAATTATATATAGAAATCATTGGGATTAATCAAACGGGGTCTATGCGAATGGATTTGAAAATAGTTACAATATTCTCACAAATGTTAATGTCAGTTTTATTTTATTAAATTTGTATCGCTAAATAAATCTGTATGTCCTGAATTATGATAACAAGTGTGGTCCAAGTATTAAGAAGTTGGCAGTCCATGTTACACTGGTCGGTGGTTATTTCTGGATGCAACACTATGGGAATGGTGACTTCCACGCGGGGACACGACGCGCTTCCTTCGTGACGTCACGTCCGAATGATTTTTAATTAACTTGTCCCTTCTCTCAAATAGTTTTGTACACTTACATTGTACACAATGTATTAATGTGTTATTGTTTAATTAAGTCGTTGAGTATATTTCATTGGAATTTAAATGTAATTAGTACAGTTTATTGTTTCGCAAAATAAAATGATTTTTAAAGTAACACATTTATATTGGGCAACAGATAGTATTCTACAAAAACACTTTTTTATAGAATACTAACGGTCGCACGCGACTCCGTCCGCGTAGAATTAAAAAAAACACAAAAGTGAGTAGTCTATGTGTTCTTCCACACTATCCTCTACATCTAAACCAAATTTCATCAAAATCCTTTCAACCGTTTAGGCTACAAACTAACAAACATCCATCTAAACTTTCGTATTTAATATTAGTATGACTAGCTGTTATCTTCGAAGATCGAAGCAAATGAGTATAGGAGTTAGCATCTAAATACCACACAACCCAATACTAGTTAGAATTTCGTATAGAAGTTCATTCACACGCCCCTAATAATATTTTCTGCGGGGGCTCAAAGTATCCACGCTGTCGGCAGATATCAACAAACAGAACAATCATAATAAACGCGGGCGTTCGCATTCGTTACAATCAACTGGAAACTATCAGATATTGATTGATTACTCGGCTTCTTACTCATACAAACAATAGATGAGTCCGCAAAATAAATGAAGTATAGTTGCCTCCATTCGCGGTGTTGCAATTACGGATTGCCTATTAACCTGTTAAAGTAGCGTTAATTCCAAATAACTGTAGAGTTGTTATAATAATTTTGTAAAAAGATTTGACTTTTATGTAACAAAATAACTAAAAAACTACTTGATCGATTTCAAAATGTTTTTACCATTAAAAAACTACGTTAAGTGAGTAACATAGGCTATATTTTTTAATTTCACGCTGACGCAGTTGGAAGTAATCTTACTAGTTGTACTTCGATCTAATATTATAAGTGCGAAAGTTTAGATAGATGGATGGATGTTTGTGATAGTTTGTAGCCTAAACGGCTGAACAGATCTCGATGAAATTTGGCATAGATGTAGAGGATTGTCTGGATACATAAGCTACCCATTTTTGTTATTTTTAATTCCACGCGGACGGAGTCGCGGGCGAAAGATAGAAGTTACATATTTATGAAGTTTGCCATCCTAGAGTGGTATTACTACATAAGTCTGCATAATTGCCATGAATCGATAAATTAACATACGCCCTCTGAAAATAAGGTTAGCAAATGTAAAGCATTTTAATTATTCTACCTGTATTTGTAAACTTAACCTTTCATAGACTGTATAAGGTTGCAATGTAAAATTTACTATTACCAATTAAAGTATGTGTACGTTACTAATGTCAGGTTAAAGTGTCAATAGACTAAAATATTATACACGAGCTGTTGCCCGAGACTTCGTTTGCGTGGTATTAGAAAACATACGAACTATATAAAAAACAAAAAGCTACGTATCCCTCGGGAACCGGACATTTCTCGGGAATGAACCTTATCCCCATGTGTACTCCAGACTTTGTTTTATATCTGTGCCAAATTTCAATAAGATATGTTGAACCGTTGCAGAATGATCGAGTAAACATTAAAAAACTAAATTATTGAATTCTAAGGGAACCGTAACTATTCCCGGGATAAAAAGTAGCCTATGTGTTCTTTCAGACTATGCCCTAAACCTGTGTCGAATTTCATGGAGAACCGTTCAGCCGTTTAGGCTACAAACTCTAACAAACATCCATCCATCCATTTAAACTTTCGCATTTGTAATATTAGTAAGATTTAAAGAGCTATTTATAGTTTTAAATTTAAACCTATATCATTTCCTCAAAGGCCGGCAACGCATCTTTAGTTCTTCTGGGGTTTCGGATGTCCATGAGCGTCGTTGACCACCTCTGTGTTCTCGCCGCTCGTTTGCCCCCCTTTTATTATAAAAAAGTCACCAATACCTTAATAACTTGTCGATTTTCTCATTAATCTATTAAATAGTG